TTAATAATATTAAAAGCAAAAAAATTAAAAATAAACATAAGAACAGAAGACAATTTATAGACAATATTTAGATATAATACCAAAATAAACAAACTCATTAACATTAACTTATGAAAAAGATATAGAAGTAAAATAAATAAAAAAGGTCTAGTATACCTAAACCAGTTGCTTAATATGAAAGGAAAAAGATTAGTTACATGGCAATAGCTAAAAAATTACCAAGATCTGTTGAGCAAAGAGAAAAAAGCAAACTGGTTCAAAATAATAGAACAAAAAGTGCTTAGCAAGCCAGAAAGTAAAAAGGTCAAACAATACTTTAAGACAAATAGACAAAATATATAAGCAATGCAAGTTAAATAAAAAAGTATATTAAAGAATAAGAAAAGAAAAAAATAGATAATATTAGTGCACAAAACCATAGGCAGCTGGAAAAAATAATCAAAAAGAAAAAGAAAAAATTACTAATAGAACATTGGCAAATGCAAAGTAAAGAAGATAAATTAGCTGTTGAAATTAAAAGATGTGAGAGCTATACTAGAACAGAAGAGAGTACAGAAGATAACTGCCAACAGTAGATTAGAATAAACAACAAAATTAACAGGATTCCAGATGTGTTAATAAAAAAGGGCAGTAATAAAATTAATATAGCAATAGATCAGATAACAGAAACAGCAAAAACAAAATGACCAGAAACTGAAGAACAAGAACTTAAAAAAATTAGAACAATAGAAAAGTTAGAAATAAAAATTATCAAACAGCAAAGACTAGATGAGTACATTAATTAAAAAATAATAGAAGCTTTAAGAAGAAATATAACAAGAGACAAGAACAAGTATATAATATATACAGATAGTACAGCAAATATAAAGGCCAAAGAAGATATCATTAGAAAATTTTATTACTAGATATATATTGATATATATTGTTAGAAAAATATTGATATATATCGATAAATGCATTATTATTTAATAATTAACCAATATCAGTAAATATCGATTATTAGATGTTCATTGATTATATCTTGATATCAATAATTAATGAATTTATTTAATTGCTATTCATTGATATTTTTATTATAACTCAATATATATCTTACATATTGTATAATATACACTTTAAATTAATAAACAATTATTTTAATACTTAAATATACATTTTAAATTAGAACATAAAAATGTTTGCTAAATATTTGTTTTTTCTGTTAAATCTTGGGACTATATGCACAGTTTATCTATGCTCTCTAAAAATATACAACTATAGTGTTTTAGTAGCTTCAATTTGGGACATTTACATATTTTATCATCTTTATCATACCAGCAGATTAAAGCAAATTCAAGTGGCTCTTTATTTGCTTGATTAAACTTAAGTATTAGTAGTATCTTGATAGATAATAATCATGTTAATTATATTACTCTTAAAGTTAAATAAAAATATCAATATTTTCTAACTTTGAGAGTTATTAGGATCTTTAATGTTATTAATCTGCATTTATTGCTTTTATTGTTAGATTTGTATTAATAGAATAACTTATAAATATATCAATACTTACCAAGCTATACCAATTTATTTCTTCTTTACTGTTACTTCTATTAATAATAATATTAGAAAACATCAGAATTTCATGAAAATTTGATGTAGCCCAAATTATATCGATATATTCTAAAGAAGCATAAGAAAACATCTTTATGCAATTATTATCGATAAAGGATGTTACTGATTCTTTTTCAAAAAATTTATCGAGACCTGTTAGTAAATTTTGAAAATCTTCAACTTGTAATAAGTTCAAATTATTTATATTATTTTTAAGAAAATCATCTTGCTTATTTAAACCTAATGACCACAAAGATTTACCAAACCCTTTTAGTTTATAATATTTTTTTAAGCTTCATGTTCTGTTAGTTAGTGCTGTTTAACCTATTAACAATGATTATTAGTGATGTTTAGTAAAAGTTTACTATATTTAAAACTTACAGTATTTATTATTTGTTTTATATAGTCTTTTTTATTAGACATGTAATAAGAAATTTTTACATAATACTTATGAAGAGTCTCATAAGTTTCTGTAGTCATACTATTTATAGATCCATACTTTTTAATTGCAGGTACTATATGATAGCACTAAACATGAAGTTTAGGAAGCTAAAGATCATTTTGAGCATATTTTGAAAATATTTCAATAAATTTTTGAGCCCAATCCAAAATAAAGATTTGTAAAATTAATTGTTAGTAATCTAATATTTTAAAAAGCCAAGTATTTATATTATATCTGAAGCTGATTATAAGAATCATTAGTAAATAATTTTTTACAGGTGGCAATATATATTCTAAAGAATTTGTAATAAACTTAGCATAACTATTTATTACTAATTCCTAGTTTTCTATAATCATCATATAGATTGTCGAAAGTGAAAATGATTATTTTTATTAAATTTCACAGTTCATCAGCTGTAATGTGCATTATATCTGATATATTCTTTATTATTTTAAAAACACTATATCAAGGAATCGATATTAATCACTGTTCAAAGATTTGAATTACTTGGCTCCTGCATTGGTCATATAAAAGATCTTTAGTATAGTCTAGCATATATTTAAAGAGACCAAGATCCAAAACATGCATTCGATCAGGTATGATAGTCTCATATATATTAAAGTTTCTAAAAGTTTATTATTTATAACAACATATATTTTTAATACATTATTATAATAACAATAAACTAAATCTTATATCTTATATTCCAAAATGCATTTTTTTCAAGATGAATTAAATAATACTGATCATCTCTGCTATGTATCACTTGAATCATAAAATCTAGAGTTCTTGGAATTATTTTCATTAAATTAATATTATTCAAGTCATCTTTTGATACTAAGCATTTTCCACATAGTCATCTTAAGGAAGCTAGCTGATAAATATTGGCAAACTTATCAGCCTCAGCCATGTTTGTGATAATTATCAATATATGTGGAATAAAAGTGATTATATTTCTATATACTATAAAATAAAGCTCTGGTTCTTTAACAATAGGCTTAAGAAGAATCGATATGCATTTTTGAAAGATTTTTCTCTGTACTTTTTGGAATCTATCAGACTTTTTTATTTTAAAATCCTTAGCTTTTAAGATTGGAAGATACCCAATTAATGCTTTAGATTCTGGTTTATTTCTTTGATAATTAGAAATATTTTTATGTAATAAAAACCAAAGATGCCCAAAAGATTTTCTTATGTAATCCAGAGTTGTTGCATTTGAATAAAGGATAAGCAATAATAAATATTGCCTAAGGAGTAATTCTGATTCTTCTCACTTCTACCAATTATCATAATATTGTTCTCTAAAGATTCTATACTCTACATTATTTCTTATTTCTCTTTTATCTTCATATTCAAGAACTAATAACTAATTAATAGTATCAATTATTATTAAAGACTTTATAGTCTTAATTAATAATTGATAGTAAAAAATATATTCAACATTTTCAAACTTTTTTATAGGAATTTCTTTGAACATCATATAAGGTGGAGTAGATTCATCAAGAAATTCCTTTCCAGTCTTTGTTGATAGTAAAAGTAGAAAAGTATCTAAATTGGTGAATTTATTGAAGAAGGTTATAAAAGCATCATCAGCTGAATTTGAAAGTCAATACTTATTAACTATCTTCATAAATTCACAATAAGCATCATTAGGCTATTCAATATTTTGTGAGTAGTACAAGTTATCAAAAGCATTATCAAATGAAGCTTCTTCAAAATCTTCAAGGTCAATTTTAACCAACTCATCAATAACATCATCTGATGAAGTATCTCTGTAATCTTCAAGATTACTTTTATTAGACATATTTTAAGATACTTCATCTTCCATTACATCATCAATTGAAAGACATTTCATTTTCATATAAGAAGGCTTACTTGGAGTTAATTTAGATGAGATTAACATATTTTCACTCTATATGAAATATTATTGTTATATAATGCTTTATAACAATTAAAAAGTATAACTATTTATCTCATATTTTGCAGCAGAATCACTAGAACTATATTCTGGAATATTTTAAATATTATCATTATCTAAATATTCTGTAGAAACTATATTGTTTATAGAATCTTGAAGATAAGAATAACTTTGTGAAATATGTTGTACTAATGCGAATGCTTTCAAAAATCCTTGATTACAATGCTCATACTGCCAATATATTTTAAGAAAAAATAAATAAAAAATAAAAAAAAAGAAAGATATAAAAAAAAAAAAGAAAGAAAGATATAAAAAAAAAAAGAAAGTAATAAAAAAAAAAAAAGATATAAAAAAAAAAAATTTAAAAAAAGATATAAAAAAAATCAAAAATAATCATTAGAAATCAAAAAAAATTAAAAAAAATAAGAAAATATAATTAAAAAGATAGAATCGGATATAAGTTGAATGTAAAAGATAGAATAGAATATAAGGTAAAAGGGGGTATTATGGACAGGTTAAAGTTTCTACTAATAAAACTTTTTATTAAGTATATAAACTCTCATATAAAAATTATTATTTGAACTGTTGCTCAATATAGAATTAAATAACAAAAAAAAAAGATCTTTATACAATAAACATTTTTAGACAAATGATTGATATACAAAAGTGTATATAAAATCTGGATTTTAGAGGGGGGGGGGGTATTGTGGGCAAATTTAAAAAAAATTTTTTTTTTATTGAGCCGAGTAGATAAAAAAATTTCTAGATAGGATCTTTGTATTAATCATATGCACTGTGAGTCCCTAATGCTAATGCTAAGCTAATATCGATATTAAAATAAATACAGTATTACTGTAAATGTGTAACATCTTAACACTTCTGATAATCAGTAATTAAAAAGGCCAGTACGTAGAGACTTTTCACCCCCCGGGGTATTTAATTTTTTTTTTTTTTTTTTTTATACTTGCCTGACTTCTTATTCTTGCGATCTTCTTTTTCTTGTTTTTTTCACACCTGTTCTTTTTTCTTTCGCTCCCGTTCTTCTTTTTTTTACTCCTGCTCTTCCTTTTTTCGATTAGCTTCAGTGACTTTTTTGTTCGCTACTTTGTTTGCCATTTTTAGTTGTTGCCAACTGTTTTCGGAAGTAAGAAGTTGTGCAAACGGAAGAGTTTTTCTTTTTTTAGGGGAAGGTGACTCAAATTCATGTGGATCTAAAGAAGCTTTAGGGGTTTCAGCATTCGAAATTCGAGGAACCAGGTACTTCAGAGCAGAACGAAGAGAGCATGTGCCAGGATTCTTATAAGTTTCTAATTCTTCTTTCATTGCTACAAACTGAACTTTTAATAGTTCATTTTCATTTTTAAGAAAATTATTTTCAGTTAAAAGAATTTCTTTTTCTTTTTCCAATAGGAAAGTATTTGAACGAGTAAGATGGTGATTTAAATTAGTGGACGATTGCGAAGGTGATTTATCTGATTGCGTAGAAGGTTGAATATTTGAAAGTAATGGAAGTGACTCATTTTGTTGTGCAGAAGGTTGGTCATTTGAAGGTACAATATCAAATCGCTCTGTTGCTAGAGAAGGGTCCAAATGGTCTGAACTAATAGCCTCAGGATTTAAGGGCCATATTCCTGTGCTTTTGTAGGCATTGCAAATAGCTAAAGGCTTATAGGTTTTGAGAAAAGCAGGGCCAAAAACTTTTGCAAAAGTATGTTTCATTACCACCTTGCCACTATGGTTTTTATATTTGTCACTCTCCTTAGCATATTCACTTTTTAATTTAGCAAAAGGAATTTCAGAGGGCTGTAAGATGTGCATCGTATGGGGTGGCAGTGCATAAAGAAGAATTCCATTTTTTCGGCAGAAATCAACACTCATATAGCTTATATGGCTTTTATGACCATCAAGCATTAGTAAAACCAGACGTGTAGGCGGAATCGAGTTGTTAAAATGGGTAAGATACATTTGGAAAAGGTCTTCGCGCATGTACTCAGTAATTGTGAAACCCATTACAGTTCCTGGAGGTGCACCTTCTAACAAGCCAGGAATTACATGAATACCTTTATAAATAATTAAGGGTGGAATATACGACCTGGCAGCTGAAATGGTAGAAGCAACAGAAATATGTTCATGTAAAATTCCATGTGCAACTTTATGAACCTGGCATGCACCTTTTTTCACGACGACTTTTTCCAACTTGGGCACAAGAACAAACCCAGTCTCATCCATGTTCCAAATTTGCATAGCAGTAAGTGAATGT